TTCGAATTGAGATCGGGAGGTCATTCCACCAGCTGGGCACAGTCCAGGAAAAGGTCCGTGATAGAGATTTTGTGCCTCTTTGGGATGGCACCACAAGGTGTTGTTCACTTGCAGAACGCAATATATATATATATATATATTTATTTCAGTAATTCAACTCAAATTGTGAAACTCGTGTATTAAATAAATTCAATGCACACAGATTGAAGTAGTTTAAGTCTTTGGTTCTTTTAATTGTGATGATTTTGGTTCACATTTAACAAAAACCCACCAATTCACTATCTCAACTAATTAGAATATGGTGACATGCCAATCAGCTAATCAACTCAAAACACCTGCAAAGGTTTCCTGAGCCTTCAAAATGGTCTCTCAGTTTGGTTCACTAGGCTACACAATCATGGGGAAGACTGCTGATCTGACAGTTGTCCAGAAGACAATCATTGACACCCTTCACAAGGAGGGTAAGCCACAAACATTCATTGTCAAAGAAGCTGGCTGTTCACAGAGTGCTGTATCCAAGTATGTTAACAGAAAGTTGAGTGGAAGGAAAAAGATGCACAACCAACCGAGAGAACTGCAGCCTTATGAGGATTGTCAAGCAAAATCGATTCAAGAATTTGAGTGAACTTCACAAGGAATGGACTGAGGCTGGGGTCAAGGCATCAAGAGCCACCACACACAGACGTGTCAAGGAATTTGGCTACAGTTGTCGTATTCCTCTTGTTAAGCCACTCCTGAACCACAGACAACGTCAGAGGCGTCTTACCTGGGCTAAGGAGAAGAAGAACTGGACTGTTGCCCAGTGGTCCAAAGTCCTTTTTTCAGATGAGAGCAAGTTTTGTATTTCATTTGGAAACCAAGGTCCTAGAGTCTGGAGGAAGGGTGGAGAAGCTCATAGCCCAAGTTGCTTGAAGTCCAGTGTTAAGTTTCCACAGTCTGTGATGATTTGGGGTGCAATGTCATCTGCTGGTGTTGGTCCATTGTGTTTTTTGAAAACCAACGTCACTGCACCCGTTTACCAAGAAATTTTGGAGCACTTCATGCTTCCTTCTGCTGATCAGCTTTTTGAAGATGCTGATTTCATTTTCCAGCAGGATTTGGCACCTGCTCACACTGCCAAAAGCACCAAAAGTTGGTTAAATGACCATGGTGTTGGTGTGCTTGACTGGCCAGCAAACTCACCAGACCTGAACCCCATAGAGAATCTATGGGGTATTGTCAAGAGGAAAATGAGAAACAAGAGACCAAAAAATGCAGATGAGCTGAAGGCCACTGTCAAAGAAACCTGGGCTTCCATACCACCTCAGTAGTGCCACAAACTGATCACCTCCATGCTACGCCGAATTGAGGCAGTAATTAAAGCAGAAGGAGACCCTACCAAGTTATTGAGTACATGTACAGTAAATGAACATATTTTCCAGAAGGCCAACAATTCACTAGAAATGTTTTTTTTATTGGTCTTATGGAGTATTCTAATTTGTTGAGATAGTGAGTTGGTGGGTTTTTGTTAAATGTGAGCCAAAATCATCACAATTAAAAGAACCAAAGACTTAAACTACTTCAGTCTGTGTGCATTTAATTTATTTAATACACGAGTTTCACAATTTGAATTGAATTACTGAAATAAATGAACTTTTCCACGACATTCTAATTTATTGAGATGCACCTGTATATATATATATAATGAAAACAGCAGCCAGGCTGATTGTAAATGCAAATTCATTTTCTGCCCGCAGGTGGCACTTTTGGAGCGGCAGATATATATATATCGGTTTCCCCGGTAACGGCAGTAATCAAAGCAGTGCTGCGCTCACAAACGCTACTTTATCAGGCATTATAGGAAAGATGAAATGAAAATGACATTGACGCACTGATCTATAATATAAAGTAATTATATAGATCAGTGCATCGATGCTTTTCTGAAGACATTCGGTTCCCTTCAGAAACACATTCATATAAAAACACCCATGCCACATTTTGATTTTGAACCGTGCAGAGCTCATGTTTATTCAACGGAGTTAAAGCCATTTGGAAAATCAATTTTTGGCGGTCAGTTTTGATATTGTGGCGGGCCGCCACAAATAAATCAATGTATGGGAAACACTGCTATATTCTTTTGTGTTCAGTAGAAGAAAGGAACAAGTCAAGGGTGAGTAAATGATGACAGAATTGTCCATTTTGGGTGAACTGGCCCTTTAAAGACATTGAACTGAATGGTCATTTATCTTTACTAGCTCAGCTGACCTAGTTGTCCACCTACTGAGTTTCTCTTTGTACCCATCAGATCTTGAAGAAATCCTGCATAGAGATCCTTGCTGCAGAACCTTCCAGTATCTGTGCTGGAGGTGAGTACAGTTCTCACTAGATCAACCGCTTGAGCCACAGCATTAAGGTCTGTTCAAGCAGCGAAAAGTAGGTATAATAGGTTTGATACAGAAAGTCATCACTTGATCAACTTGATGTGTTGATTTTAATAACTAAAAAATATACACTTACATTACATACCTTACGCAATCATACACCTTTAACACAGTGGTTTTATAGAGACTGAAAAACCCAAAAATGTGCTGTTGGAACTTTAAAAAGGCACTTAAAATAAATTAAACATTTGATTTCATTTTATTTCGCAGTAAGTTGTTGGCTTCAACCATTCAAAATTGCAAACGTTCTTTTAAAGAATGCTGTCTGGCAAATTTTCTCAGACAAAATCTATTAATTTCAATAGGAATCCACACAATCTGGAACTACGCATGAGAGTGAAAGATTCCCCCACAGATTTCACAATGGGTTCAAGAGTCGGCAGTTATCAAAATTCGCTACGTGACTTAACATTGTTATGTGTGAACTTCCTGTTTTAAAGAGGCGTTCCAAGTCGTCGTGAGAGGAAATGGATTCCTTCATGCTAGAAATGTGGACAAGGTTCTTTGCAGCTTCAGAATAAATGACACTCTTACCAGAAGTAAGTACCTTGAAATTCTGCCATTGTGCCATTTAAAAAAAATAATAGTTCACCCAGAAATGACAATTCTGACATTATTTACTCATACTTCATATTGTTTCAAACCTGTATGCTGTTTTTTTGGCATTATTGTTTTTATATAAGTACAAATCATAGTGACCATGGACTGTCAAGTAACAAAAAGGCATCAAAGAAGCACCATAAAGCTTTGTGCAGTGAACAGGCCTGAAGAACAGACCTGAGGCGTTCAAATAAAATACAGATATCAGTTGGTTGTCAATAATATCAAACATTTGTTTTCAAGGTCTCGTAACCTGTGCCATAATCTCCATACCTGATTTGAGAGTTGTCTGTAAAAATTAATAGTGCACTCTAAAAAATGCTGGGTTAAATACAACCCAGTGCTGGGTAAAACAGGGACAAACCCAGCAATTGGGTTGTTTTGACCCAGCGGTTGGGTTACTACCCAGAAGGTTGGGTTAAACATTTAACCCAACCGCTGGGTCAAAACAGCCCAATTGCTGGGTTTGTCCCTATTTTACCCAGCACTGGGTTGTATTTAACCCAGCATTTTTTAGAGTGTGAATGATGATTTAAATTTCAGTCCGTTCCTCATTCAAAGCTATTGTCTGGCTATTGAAGACTTCAAATATAGCGATATGGTGATATGGACTACTTTTATGATGCATTTATGATGATTATTTGTAGAGACCTTTGTTAACTTTAAAGTGTTGTTTTATGGAAAGATGTTTTGTTTCACAGAAGAAAAAAAAGACACTCATGGTGTTATGGAACGACGTAAGAGTTTTCATTTTGGGGTGAACTATGCCTTTAAGCCAACCATTACATTACATTGCATTACCAAGAACATGTATGCTGAACACATCACTGGCTCAATGAAGACTATTAAACAGGGTTAAATGTTGTGTGAGATGACAGCAGTCTTATATAAGCAATTTCCGTGACTTTCTTGCATAATTGCCATATGGTTGGAATGATTTGAGGCAGAATCTATAAACCCTTCTGATTAGCTATCATTTTTCCACCAAACGTCCCAGAAGACTCATTTTCATAGAAACCTTGGAACGGCCGACTATGCCATGCCAGTCCCATTTGTTTTTTGGCAAATAGTCGTTTTTAAAGGCTACATTAGGAGTTTTACAGGATGGATTCCTGCCAAACCAAGGAGATATAAGAAAGAAACGCTGCCACACAAAAGGCTAACCGCTTTCGCAAAGCCCGTCAGGTAAATGTCAGCTCTACCTCTTGCAGTTTTTACTGCAGGTCTCATGTTTAAACAGGATCTGTGTATTTTTTGCACACTATAGTGTTGCAAAGCCTGGCGGATGAGTCACAGGAATTAATAAATTAAATTAGTATGCTAGCAGAAGTACAGTGAATCATAACCGAATTTTGCTTTAGGACGCAAATTTTATATTGGACATAAAATGGTAACAAAACAAATCTCACAGGAAAATGTAACTATTTTACGAGGTGAAAATTTTGTATAAATGCATATGATTTGGATTGTGCAAAAACAAATGACTTAAAGGAATAGTTCACCCAAAAATGAAAACTTCCTGTTAATTTACTCACCCTCAGGCCATTCAAGATTACTTTTTTCTTCAGTAGAACATTAAAGAAGATTTTTAGCTGAAACTGTGGTCCATAGTGATTCATAGAAGGCAAGTCAGTTTATGAGAATAAAAAAAAAAAGCATCAGGCTCCTGATGATATATTGAGGTCTTATGAAGCGAAACAATCAGTCTGTGCAAGAAACTGAACATTATTTACAGCATTATTACCTGTAATCCACAGCCTCGGGCAAAAAAGGCATAATCATAGGACATAAAAATGCAGTCTTACAAACTGATATGAATAAAGGCCCATGCACACTAAGAACGATAACTATAACGATAAAGTTATTGTTTAAATGACTTTTACAACTTTAACAATGACGGCACAGAGGAACGATATTGTTGGAATCACTTTCGAAACAATTAATTTCCAGATGATGAACAATAAAAACATTTGCCAATCAGAATCCATCCTGCTTTAAATATCTTGAGCATTTGAAGTGGCAGACAAGACAACATAATGGTAGCGCGCAATTATAATATACAGAATGATAGCATCCATTGGTGTGGACGTAAATATAGTTATCGTTGTAGTTGTCATTCTTTTAGCCACTAATTCAGCAAAAAGTAAAATAGTTTTGCCATGAGATTGTGTTCTTGGCAACAGATTTGCAATACATAGCGTCACCACTTGAGAACCTTTACAAAAAGCTTTGCCTTTACAAAAACAAAGAGTTGTTTTCTGCTTCAGCGGCTAGCAAAACAGAGTGCCATTGTTCACATATGTCCCATGATGGCTCAAATTAATTATTACGGCAGTTATGGAAAAAAATTTTAAGCATTGTATATTTAACAAAATCTGCTGTTAATTGTCTGGCGACTTTCTTTTTTGAAGTAAAGCTATTAAAGTGCAAGTGATTCTATGTTGATATTTCATATGCAGCAATACTGTAATGTTATTAAAGCTTCAGGGAGGGTCTCATTCTCTCCAAACAATCGTAATTTCTTTAAAACTGGCACTGGTTGTAGATCAAAGCCCAGTCATCTGACTTCAATCCTATTTTACAGTATCAGTAATGGGTACCAGCTTTGGTGCTTCGCATCTCTTTGCCTGTCTTTGCTCTGATTAAAGCCGGACGTTTCAAACGTGGCACCATGCTAATTGTTTGTGTCCGATAAAGACCAGAACATCCGGTTGATGAGTGTAACTGTGTCATGGAAGTAATTTTACCTTTTTCAGTCCGCCTCTCAGCAAACTGGTCCCACTTTCCCATCCTCAAGGCACATTCCCAGACCTACACCAAATTTACTCTGACTTTGAGGTGGCCTGCTGTTTATTTGCTCTTGACCGCTGTAAACACTAGAGAGGATATCCTGTAAATGAATGATAATGTCCATCATGCACAAACCTGCTCTCCTTACTTTGAACCCAAGGCTGATGGCAGGGCTGTCGGAAAAGAGCCATGTGTGGTTACAGCGTGTTGACCTTCTGACTTGTTTCTGACTAGTCTGTAGATTTGAAATTGTCACACTGTCCTAATTAGAATAGAAGATGAGTATTAGTGCATCTAAATATTATGGCATACATGGTTGGACAAAATAATATGAATACCCATTATTATATGGGTTAATATCATTTGTGTAGGCTACAGTAAAAAAAATGCTGTAATAATGTTTTATTTATGTTTTTGTTGTCTGTATTCTCTAGTTTGTGTATCAGTGTAGTGTAAGTTGTGTTTAGTACAAATCTTGTGTGAAATGAGTGACGGTCAGATTTCCAAACAGGACAGATCATGGGAACCTGTTTAGCAGAAGTGTCTGTAACCCTAACAGCCCAATTGTTTAGTGTTTTAAGAACAACAGTCTTTACGATTATGACTGCATATGTAAAGCATGGCAAGACTTCTGAAGAATAGTGGTTGAAACTGAAATTGAATGATAGGGACTATCAAACACTAAGGATTGTGTCCAAACAACACCGAATTACTGCAGCAAAGTGACGGCAAACCTCAAAAGTCCTTTTAAAGACCCTGTTTCCTCACAGAGAACTTCACAAAGCCAACACCCATGAAAGAGCTAAAACTATAATCACAGACACCAATGATAAAATGCGAAAAAGATGGTGTCATAATCATAAAACCTGAACAGTTGGAGCACCAACATGAACTTCAACATCTGCCCTGACCAGACAAATCACCTGACTTGAATATTATCAAACCACTGTGGAGTGTGGATAGTTTTGGAGAGAAGAGTGAGAAGCTGATTCCTTCCTCCAATCTGTACAACATCAAACGGTAGATTATTCAGAAGTTGTATGAATCTATTCTAAGAAGGTTGGAAGCTTTATTAACGGCAAAAACCTCAGTAAAGAAATACTGCCTATTCCCCAGGTGTTCACATTTTTGTCTGACCTTGGATTTGCTTTGATGGTATACAGTTTTATACGTGTACTAATGTACACCTATGCATGCTGATTGGGTCAATATTGCCCACAATCCCTTGTGCTACAGAAGAGAAGTTTGTGATGTTACACTAAAGCCCAAAGTGTATACTTTAGTTTTGACACAAATGCTATCGCATGTGTACTGCCAAATACAAGTTGGAAAGTCAATAGACATGTTTATTATATTGTTTATTTTTTCTTTTGCTATTGGGGCAAATGGGAATGCCAAATATGCTATTTGTTGTAGTTTCCATTTAAACTGGGACAACTTTGCTTCAGAGATTGTGAATTTGTTTTATGTACCATTTAACAAATGATAAATCTTAAATAGCTGAAATCACGTTAATAGAAAAAATTATCAGTTCCACAGAAAATAACCAAAACACAATAAGGATGGCCTTTATAGGAGTTACAGGCCAGTTGACTATACCAACTTACCATTTCAGGTCAGTGCTGCTTATTCATCGTATACATCCTTTTTTATGTATTTTGAACATCTCTGAACATCTGCCAGACAGTATGCATCAGACAGTCAGTGAATGGACTGGGGGCGGTTTGGGGGTGTTTAGACTTGCTGTCTTTGACTTACATTTCCTTTCTTTAACCTTGAAAATCCTCAAGCAGCCAGATGATTTCATAAGAGACACAAGGGCTGTTGAATTCATCCCAGTGGCCATTTCCCTCTCGAAAGGCTCAGACTGTCAGACTGTTCCTTGTTTTGTGTGTGTTTTGCTCCCCATGTGCCTTCCTTGCCCTTATTTGGTCTTCCTGTTCCTGCCCTGATTGTGTTTATTTGATACCAGCTGTGTACGTCGATCCCCGTGTCCTACGTGTGGTTTTCTATGTTGTAAATAAAGTCTGTGATAATTCTGGAATCTCCTTCGTCTCCTCGCTCCTTCACAGTAGGCACACCGTGACAGAATTCCAGACCAAAAACAGAACAGTAAGTGGCGCCCCTTTCCCCTTGTTTGTTTTCCGTTTTTTATTTTACAGTTTTTGTTTCCTGTTTGTTTCTCTCCGCGATCATGGAAATCGCAGCTCGTTTCTCCGCTTTAGCCTGCAGAGATCTCCCCTTCTTTGAGTACGCCTGGGAATTCTGCGGGCTCGCCGCGGCGACGGCATTGGATGACTCCACCATCAATTCGCTTTTCTGGCTCTGGGCCAACTACCATCGCCCCATGGACCTCCCAGACACCACGGGACTATGTTGGAGGGAAGGGATCTACCAGTGTCTGGGGAGTGTCCGGGCCCGAGCCAGAACCAGCCCACCGTCAAGCTCACCGGCCGCGGCTGTCTCCAGCCCGCCAGCCGTTCCTCAGTCAAGCCCGCCGGCCACTCCAAAGTCAAGTTCGCGGGCCGCCGCTCACTCAAGCCCATCGGAATCTCTGCTGTCAAGCCCGCCGGCCGTGGCTCTCTCCAGCCTGCCGGGCCATTCCTCAGTCAAGCCTGCTGGCTGCGGCACTCTCCAGCCCGCCGGCGGTTCCTCAGTCAAACCCGCCGACCACGCCTTTCACCCCGAACCTAGAGGGGAATCTAAGGAGGAGAAGGCGGTCGGCTCCAGCCCCAGAGCTCGCTCCAGTGTCGGCTCCAGCCCCTGAGTTTGCTCCAGTGCCAGCTCCTCGAAAGCGCCTTGCTGTGCCTGCTCCTCCAGAGCACTCTCCAGTGCCAGCTCCTCGTAAGCGCTTCCCAGTCCCTGAATCCAGCCCAGAGTGGGCTCCTGTTCCCGAGTTTAGCCCACGGAGGGCTCCTGTTCCCGAGTTTAGCCCACGGAGGTCTCCAGTCCCCGAGTTTAGCCCAGAGAGGGTTCCAGGCCCAGAGTTTAGCCCAGTGAGGGCTCTAGCCCCCGAGTTTAGCCCAGAGAGAGTTCCAGTCCCCGAGTTTAGCCCAGTGAGGGCTCCTGTCCCTGAGTTTAGCCCAGAGAAGGTTCCAGTCCTCATGTCTAGCACAGAAAGGGCTCCAGTTCCCATGTCCAGCCCAAGGAGGGCTCCAGTCCCCAAGTCAAGCCCAGTGAGGGCCACAGTTCCCGAGATAGGCCTACGGATGGCCTCTAAAGACGATATTCTCCCAAAGGATTTTTGGGGGGGGAGGTAGTATGGGTCCGTCCGTAGTGGCTGGGCCAAGGCCACGGAAGCCGTCCAGCCATGGCCTTCGGAGTTCCCTGCTCCGCCCGCTGTTCCGCCATGGCCTCCTGAACTGCCTGCTCCGCCATGGCGCCCTGAACTGTCTGCTCCACCATGGCACCCCGAACTGCCTGCTCCGCCATGGCGCCCCGAGCTCCCTGCTCCGCCATGGCACCCTGGACTGCCTGATCTGCCCTGGAGGTGTCCCATTGATTTCCTTGATTAGTCCCATAATATAAACCCTGTGTTTCTGAGTTTCCCTTGTCTGGAATTGTACGTTGATCCCCGTGTCCTACGTATGGTTTTCTATGTTGTAAATAAAGTCTGTGATAATTCTGGAATCTCCTTCGTCTCCTCGCTCCTTCACAGTAGGCAAACCGTGACACAGACACAATTTGGTATCAACAGTAATTCTTATTGATTTATCACGCAAGTCGAAACCATGTGCACATGTCTTTACTTAGTAGTACAACATGACCTTCCCTCGTGTGCTATGGGTAAACAGCCCAATAAAGCACAATGACAACATGACCCTCTGCCAGAATTCTGATTCTTTGGGATTTGAGCCGACCGCATACACCAACAAGCAGCTTTCTACAGGATAAAGAAAAACATAGAAGTGTTATATTTGTACATTTTCTTCTGCGTTCATGCTTTGGCTGTGTCAAGTGCTAAAGCACCAATTTGTCCAATTGATTTTTTTGAGTGTAGTAATTCGGAGTTGCATCTGAAAGATATAAAATAAATATTCGATTACAAGAACAAGCCTTTACATCTGCAGTTTATTGTTTTTGGGTGAATTTGGTGTCTCAGTTGGAGGCCCTTGACAGTCAGAGGTTTTGGAGCAATGGCCCCATTACCCCTGTTCTGTAATCCGTGACCCATTTCTCTTTCCTTTTGGATACTTTAGGGCTACCAGGGGTTAAATGCCTTGCATAAGAGTTGATTCTAGGTTCTAGCCTTGAACATTTGAATCCAATTTGATAAAAATGTAGTTGATATGTTTTGCAATGACTGAAAATGAGATGCAGTCTTTCCTCAACAACTGCAGCTGTTTTTATATTAACTGTCCTCTTATGCAAGGAATCAGACAGCAATATGCAAATATTTCATGCTGTATTTTCCAGATTTACTGTTTGAAATGTGATTGTGTATTTGTCTTTTTTATTAGTGGTGAAGCCATTGGTAGTGGAGGACACGTATCTGCTCTGTCCAGCTCCTGTTCTTCGAGAGGAGGGAACGTAAGTGTATCAGATAAATATTTGTACTTTCTTTCTAGTGGCAGAAATGTTAACTGTGGCACATTAAGGAATGCAATGTAGTGTTTTCAAAGGATTTAAGTACTTTTTACATTATGTGTATTGCAGGGCAGCCTCCCTTTACGTTAGCATGAATGAAGGGCTGAGTTTTATCTCTAGTTCTGTTACTATCACCACTGTAAGCTGTGTAAGTATTATTCTAAATCATATTTTGTGCTTTGTTACTTGTGTTTTTGTGTTTGACAACCAGTGTTGGGGAAGCTACTATACACTACTGTTCAACAGTTTGGTGTCAGTAAGATTTTTTTTAAAGAAGAGTCTTTGAACCAAGGTTGCATTTATTTGGTCAAAACCAACAATATTGTGAAATTTTATTACAGATTAAAACTAGATGATACTGTGAACAAACTTTGAGGCTAACCTGAAAGTTTGAAGCAGTTATAAAAAAAAGTTTGAACGCTTAGATAGACATGCTAGCATGATTTAGCACATTGAATGTTGTTAGCATGTTTTTATCATAATTAGCATGTTGTTAGCAATTCTTTAGCATAATTACCGTGTTGTTAGCATGGGACTAGCATGATTAGCATGTGGTTATCATGATTAGCATGTTGTTAGCAAGTTTTTGTCCTATAGTATGTGGTTAACATGATTAACATGTTGTTAGCATGTTTCTAGCATGATTACTGTGTTACTAGCTTGTTGTTAACATGTTTCTAGCATGATTACCATGTTGCTAGCAAGTGTCTAACGTGATTACCATGTTTAGCATGTTGCTAATATGATTTTAGCATGATTACCATGACGCTAGCATACTGCTAACATATTTTAGCATGATGCTAGCATGATATTGCACATTGCAAGAAGAAGAAGAAGAAGAAGCTTAAATAGAAGATCAGTGCAGTGGCTTTCTCAAGCCAACCTAATAACTGTTTCAGATTTTAAAGGGGTCATATGATGCGATTTAAATTTTTCCTTTCTCTTTGGAGTGTTAGAAGCTCTTGGTGCATAAAGAAGATCTGTAAAGTTGCAAAGACTAAAGTCTCAAATCCAAAGAGATATTCTTTATAAAAGTTAAGTCAACCACGCCTACCTAAAACGGCTCGTTCTAACACGCCCCCACATGTCTACGTCACGATGTGGGAAGATTTGCATAACGCCGCCCAAATGTTCACGCAAAGAAAGAAGGCATAACTTTTATTCTCGCTGTAGTATTGTTGTTGCAGCCGCCGCCATGTCGGGAAGTCGCTGTGTGTTTCGTTGTGAAAGCGAAACTACTTTGTTTGGCCTTCCAAAAGAGGACGATATCCGCTTCGTCATGCCTGTAGCTGATCCGTGCTGGTCGCTAATATAAACACATTTCATTACACCAAATACACAAAATAATGTTCTTTTTAGCAACATCATATGACCCCTTTAATATATTTTATAAAGTAGCTTATTCCTGGGATGTTAAAGCAGAATTTTTAGCATCATTACTCCAGTTTTCAGTTTCACATGATCCTTCAGAAATCATTGAAACTGAATCACTGAACAACTGTCCCTAAAATGCTGATTTGCAAGGAACATTTATTATTAGTATCAATGCTGTAAACAGTTGTGCTACTTAATGGGTGGAAAGTGTGGAGGTGTTTTTTTTTTCAGGATTATTTGATGAAGGAAATTTTGAAGAACAGCATTTATTTGAAATATAATTTTTATGTAACAGTCTAAAATCATCACTGTCACTTTTGATCTTTTAATGAGCTCTTGCTAAATAAAAGTATAAATGAATAAATAACAAATAAATAAATAAATAAAATAAATATTTACCCCAAGCTTTTGATTCGTGTACCAAATTGCTTAATGTTGGAAGAAGTAGCTTGTTGCTGGAGCTCTACTATTTTAAATATAGTTTAATAGCTTTCATGCAACTGAAAAATAGAATTAAGTTATATATTAATCACAAGGCTTGAACCATGTATTACTCAAAATGATTCCCTAGCTAATACTCATTGCTGTAGTGTTTTAGCTTTTTAAAATGCAGCCAAATTGCTGTGAAAAATGTGTTAAAGGAACGTAAACAAAAGGTTCTACAGGCTGGGAATGAAAACAAAATTATGGTAAAAAATGTATTAAATGGATTCCTGGAATGCCTATAAAGTGGTGCCAGTCAAAGCTCTTTAGAAAAGCACAATGTGTTTCCCACCAGACAAATCCAAAAGCTTCTCACGAGCCAGTGGGTTATGAGATCTCCCAGTGAGATCACTTGTAACTTAGTTCATCCCCTCGTTTAATAACTAGCCTATCCCTTTCAGCATGCATCATCTGTTATTTCCATAGCTAGCACCCTTTCATGCAACCATTGTTTGAACTAAAGAAACTGAACAGCTGACATCATCTTATTGTTCCATTACATTTTCCAAATGTTTTTCTGAATGTCATTTGAATCTGATGTCATAACAAAAAACAGTCCCACTTAGAGAAGTGTTCATATCTGTTCCTCCCTGCAGTCTGATGGTACGATCTTGGCCATAGCACTACTGATAGTGATGCTACTGCTGATTCTGGCTCTCCTCTGGTGGTTTTGGCCTCTCTGCTGCACTGTGGTGAGTCCTCTGCATGGAAAATCTTGAGCTTACGCAAATAGAAGTCCTGCTACATATTAGGACATAAACGCAGACCTGCACAAAATCTGCATCTGCAGAATTGCACAGAAAACTCAGTGGATTTTCTAACCTGGGGTAGGGTGCGTTTCCAAAAAGCACCAACTATGGTCACAAGTTCCATCATTACCAACACGGCTCAACAATTCGGTGTTTCCTCAAACCATAGTTTCAACAAACATTCACGAAGAGCATTGCAAACTACAGCTCTCATTGGAAGAAAACTACAGTTTTTTGTTAGTATGACATTTGGAGTTGATGAGTGCACATGTGCTTGAGTCTGTAGGGGAAACTTGAAGGAGTATGACGTAAGAGGGACCAATGATGGAATCAAACATCTGGAAATAAAGCAAACCAATAGAGAAACCAAAATTACGAAGTAGTCCTCAGGTGCCATGTTCATTATTTACAGGAATAATCAAAACTATTACTACATCACCACCTGCTTGATGTCATTAACGATAGTTGTATATTGTTGAACCAGTGTGGTTAGAACAGCAGATTTGCAACAAAGTTACTAAGATTTCAGGAAACTTTTTGAATAGATATAGTTTATTTCTTCAATTATGACTCGTATTGTGGTAGTTAATCAGAGAGTTATGTCATTGAATAGGATGTGACTTCACACATTTTTGCTAAATCTGAGGGTTATACTTGATTTCATCTACTTTAGACATTCTACTAACTTTAAGTAACTTTGCACGTCAGCGAACTCTCACTAGAGTATTATAGCCAGATTTACTAAACAAGGCAAATTAAATTGAGAGCATAATTCCAAAAAAGCACCGATTGGAGTGGAAATTTCTTCGGGTGATCTACTGATAATGTGCAAATTAAAGAACACAGAACTCCTACAAATGCATATGCAATAAGGTCAGCCATGAAAATACCTGCATCCAAGCCCTTTTATCACTAATTTTAATTTTAGTTAATCCTGACAGTACTTTTTAACCCCAAAAAATGTTTGTGCAGGTACAAGCTGCTAATAGATTTGGCCCGAGGTCTATATTAGTAGACCTTTAAGCCCAAAGTATACTTCGGCCACGTGCACAGCGTTGGCGCGAGGTCAACATTGAGACAGAATAAGTCAATAGGTGATACTGCGCATGTGTCGAACTCGTCCATCCGCGGTTGAATATACTTGAAAATTTTAGTATAGCCACGCATTTGGGTGACATGTACTGTAGTTGCGGTAGTTGTAGTTGACCATCAAAATAAAGTGTTAGATATTAAGCAGACAGTCTATTGATACTCTAATGACTGGTAGTTTTTGCAGTTGCAAAGTTACTTACTGTTAGTAGATTATGTAAAGTGGACTAATGAAATAAATTGTTAACCATCTGAGAAATGTTGCCATGGAAAAAAATTTGTCACCATTTAAAATCATTTATACTTGACTTTGCTGCACTTGAACTTAGGGTCAGGTTTAGGAAAAAAATGCATGGCTCTTGCTTGATTGAAATGTCGATTAAAAAAGTTGACATTTGTACAGTATATTTTTAATGTTATTAAAACCACACCTGTATTGGAAAAAAAGTTTTTCCCATTAGGTTGCATTTTCTGCCAAATTCTAACTTTATTCTACCAAAACACCAAAATTATTCACATTTCTCATCCTTTCTTTGCCCAGTTACTAAATATTTTGTCTAATTTGTTAATAATAAATAACAATCAGCTACCAGTAGGGGGATATTCACACAGAACACACTTTTGTGTTTAAAAATATGAGACACAGGGCAAGGTCTAGTAGTTTAACTTACTTTTAACTTACTTTTTAGAATGTGCTATAGTATCTCTGTTCAAACACATCCACAAAGTGCATGTTAATATAGAAGAACAATGGGAAAGCAGTGCAGTGGAATGCAAAAACATGTTCTGTTTGAATGCCAGTAGTACTCTCAGCTGCACATTTTACCATATTTATAATAATTTATACCCCCCACACCCCACAATCAATGCAGAAAAAGTGCAGATACTGTGTGGTCTTATTAAATGGTTAGATACCAATATACAAAAGATCTCATTATTTTGTTCATAAGTACACAGAATGGGCCACAGCCATGGTTCTTATGTCATGGGGTATTGGTGACTGAGAATGGACCATTAACAAATTAAGAAGATTTAATTAAAGATGATTTCATTAAATGTGGGGAAGAGTACTCATCTTTCAAAAACATGAGAGTACATTTGAAGTTTTTGCCAATATAAAATATTAATATCTTATTGGCTGTCTCTTAAACTGTATTTCTAAATGAATATCTTTTAGGACGATGCATTACACATCAAATTTCCCATCTATACCACTCTGAGTTTTTGGAACATCTAACCACTACATATGAGAATTACATTTGGCAGATGATTTGCTTACACTGGGCTAAAACTGCACTCCCCTCGTATAAAAGATGAATGTGTTCAATTAGGATTCATATCTGACAAACCTGTTGGATTTCTATTTTTCCAATAATTATATAAATACACCATGATGACTTGACCTAAACTCCATTACCCAAAGAGACATTTTAGATGTGACAGGCCCATAGGAACACATGGGCGAAGATGTTTCCTTTAAAGGGTAGCTGTACCTTTGCACCTTCAATCTGGACGACCTTTGGTTGTTGCCTGATCTTTCTTCCAGGTTTGATTGTTTTGACCATGTAATGAGCTTTTCTGTTGCTAGGCTGAACCCCAGTGGTGTCCAGGCAGTCTGTGCAGGTTGAGTTGGTTTGCTTTCATGCCCTATTTGTCCTGTAATGACTTGTTAAGCCCTTACTAAGTATATTAGACTCACACAGAGTCAAGGCCACCTGGGATTTGTAGACAAATTGGTTCAACAACTCTTGGATCTGACATCACCTTTGAACTCTCAAGGTCAAACGTCAGAAGTGAGTTTCCTCATTGCTTTTCCAGAAGAACTGCAGATGTGGAACCTTCTTTTACATAAAGAAAGTTTGAGTATAAGAATTTAGAGGGGAAAAATGCATTTAGTCTTGGACTCTGACTCATCATGCACTTGGGAGCATGTGGACTTGGTCTTAACCCTCATCTGGTCTTTGTCTTGACTGACTCGAATGAGCTGGTCCCGACTACAACACTGGGCAATGCTGCTCTTTTACTTGTGTAACTGGTCCTACTTGCAACACTCTTAAGTGGCAATCGAAGCAGCGTCAACCAGCATGGGAGTTAGGTGTAGTCAGTAACTAGCATACCTCTTAAGACCAGGGGAGTGAAGGAATAATAGCTAGTGCAGTGGCTGCGATATATACATAAACCTACCAACATTCGTCACCATAACTTATCGCGAAAGGAAAACATTTTAGTCGCATAACATTGAATTAATGGAAATGCCGTCATTTCACAATAGTTTTTTTTTTGACATTCATAAAATATCGCAAAAGTTTTGTGCAAATCTGCAGTGGAAACCAGGCTAGTGTCAGTGTTGCAGATTATGAACAAATTTGATTCAGTTCTAAAGCAGACGACAATAGTATTCAGCTCAATTCCGTTCAACTTGTGTTCTCATCTGGTAATGTCAATGCCAAATCGATGATATTACTGAATATTTAGTGACTTTCACATCCCAACTAAGAAAGCCAAAGGCAATAGTGGCAAGGAACCCAAACTTCATCAGTTGACAGAAATAAAATGGAAAACTTGGGAGATACCAAGCTCAGTCGGGGACCAGTTCTCCTCTGGCCAAATGAACAAACGATGTGATACTGCATCACACTGGTATTAGGTGGGAAGGAAGAGTTGTAGCATCTCCAGCTGCCGTAGTAGGGGACTGGCTTATCAGTGGACTTGAATCTGTTCCAAGATCTTGTCTATTTGCTGCAGTCTTCAGGACTTGTCTTGTCGATGTCTTCGCTGACCGTGAAGAGGCTTATGTGGAGGTGGGTAAACTAACAAGGTGCTAAATAGCTCTTACTTGTTGGTCTCTGTTACACTAGCACAAACTGGTTGGTCATCCAGGTATACTAGCTTAACCAATGTAACCTCGATGGTGACCAGCCCAAACCCCAAAACATACCTCATACTGGTCAATAAGATGGTTTTGATAGATACTTTCAGATAATTAACAGCAGAACCTGCTATGATCTTGGCCCAAGGTGTCAAATCCTGCTCCTGGAGGGACAACTTCAAGCAGAGTTTAGCTCCAACCCCAATTGAACACATCAGGACCAGAAAATCATGAGATCACTGGAGCTAAATTCTGCATGAAGGCATCAGACACCTCTGGTCTTTTCTAGCCTTGAAAGATTTATTCTATAGATCAGAGGTGTCAAGTCCTGCTCCTGGAGGGCCACTGTCCTGTTTAGATTCAACCCTAATTCAGCTAAAGCCAGCTAATCAAGGCCTCCAGAAGTACCTGAAAACTAACTTTGTCGCTGTTGTAGTAGGTCTGAGTTCGACACCCATGCTAGATCCTGCAGAGATTAAACATTTGCCACAGGACAAAGTGTCTAGTTACACCTCTTGAGACCCAAGCCTGGCCTTTCTCTTGATTTCTGAGGGACATATAATAATTCAAACTGTCAGTGAGGTCCAACTAAGAAATATCAGAAAAACTGGACGTGTCTGGAATTTGTCTGGAAAGGCACAACAGGAAAAGAGAAGAAATGAGTCATTGCTATGTTAGAGGAGTGTTGAGCTGAAGTTCATGGTTGAACCAGCTAAATCGACTGAAATCCCGCTCAGCAATGATAATTTTCCATAGAGACCAGCTGTTGGCCACCATAAACTGAATTAGCATTAGCTTATTGCTATGTTTAAATAGCTTGGCTTTATTTATTAACACAGGGTCATTTAGACTTTAAATACCATGTGTGTTGGTCAAGTTCAAACCTGCTATGCAAAATTCCTTACGAAATGGAATATTTTTGCAAAACGGAAAAAGACGTGTCTGTTTATACAAGGTAATATTGTCTGTCTGCCACTTAAAATCTCTACATGAACTAAAGGGGGCACGCTCTGTTTGGGAAAGTTATTCTTTGTTACCATGGAAAATGAAATTGTGATTTGACCTTTGAAATAACAAGGAAGAATAGTGCCCATTCTCAATTTTATTAAGATCTATTGATTGCCAAGTAGTGTAATGCTAACGTTTTACTGGAGGTACAGAGCCATATTTGCAGCATTGTGACATGACAAAACTGGAACGCTCCCGCTATAACAAACAAAGCTGTTTTTCCTGTAGGATACCCAGTATATGAAACACTAGCTAGGCCTGTATGCTAATTGTGTGTTCAAGACCTTTCTGGCAGTTTCTGTCCATAAATTCGGAAGTCTTAATTACAACATGATGTGTGTTAAAGTGATTTTGCATGGAATAAATTCGATGCGTTGGCCAATTTAGCCTTTTTTCATATCTCAACCATGACAGGGACATTTTTAGCTCTAGTGCAATAAAATTAAGTTTTATTAATACTCTATCTGTATTTTATCCTTCTCAGCCACTGACAGTGATGGGCAGATTTGTTGCACAAGTGTCTTAAACCAACTAAATGAGCATTATTTAAATCAGCTTTATCAACAGAACACCAACTATGTACATCATGGTACCTATGGCTGTGGTACCATCAGCATTCACAATTGCATGTTCAATAACAATTTGCTTCAACCATTAATTCTTTAATTGACAACTCGGAAAGCGAGGGCTTAAAAATGTTTCTCACTGGTAATTGTGACTTTATGGTGTTGTTCAGATGCTTTCACTCGTAAATACAATCATTCCGTCATGACTAGAACACAGCAAGAGACCACAGAACTGTTTATGAAAACACTCAATTAATCAAATAATTTTCCCTTCAGTCCAAGCAGAAAGCAAAAGAGTTGGAATTACTACTACACTCTGGCATTTTTAATGTCTCTGTCCTTGAAATGTTTTTCACATGATTCCCAGAATTCCAGATGAGTTTCAAAACAATAACAATATGTGCTCTTTCACAATTGTTTTGCATGTGGATGAATAGTGGATCTCCTTTTTAAATACTTTAGCAGTTTCAACAGTGACACAAAATTGTACTGCCTTCATCAAATTATGTTTCTACATGTCCTTTAACAGATATATTACATGTCACATCATATAACCGAAGCCATAAGTTTCAGTTTTATAATTAGCCATTAGCTGTTAGCAAAGCAGCTGTCATTCTACACAGAGTTTAGCAAAAAGATGAAAAAAAAATCATATTGTAACCAGCTATTTGATACGAATTTACAAACAGCTGCTCCTTGAGGTCAAAGGATGGAATTTGTGAAGAATTATAGTAAAATTTGTGAGATCATATGATGTATCCCTTACGAAAATTAACCATGGTTTTACTACAAATAAAATATTAACCTATTAACCATGGGTTTGCTACACTAACCATAGTTTAACAATGGTATTTGTAGTAAAACTGTGGTTATAAAAATACATGGTTACTACACTTTTACTACAATAAAACCATGGTTAATTTTTATAAGGGACTAGTAAATAAATCACATTGTACATTGTTGAATTATAACAAGTTATGGCTTTTATATTTATATTGTTTACATTTAATAATAATTATTATTATACTAATATTTATCATTCTAAATTATTATAATTAGTGACTGAAACATTAGTCTGAGCTAGAAAACAGCTTTTTTCCCCAAATGGCAAAGGTCAAGTGAATGTAGCATAATTATCATTATATGGTTGATTTTGTATTCCTGATGCCCTGTGCTGTTTTGCTAATTGCTAAATCGCTAAAATGCTGTAGTACTTGACTTCTGAACAAGTAAATAATCAGTTTTACTTCTCTGAAAGACACATACCTGGAAAAGCTTAACGCTCAGCCCTGCCTTTTAGCATTTAGATCTGGCCTCCAGATTTTTAGGTCATTTAAACTTGCTTGTAAACACACTGAAAATGGGGAGAGGAGGGGCGCAATTCCTTAGCCATGTGTTTTTGTGTAACCTGATTTTCTGGCACACACTGAAAACATTACTTGGGTCCTTTGACATGTCAGTGGAAGAAAAAAAAACTGTTTTTGAACTTTGGAGAGCATGTGGTCTGACATGCCAGCATGAGTGGGCTCATGTGATGTTGTTTATCTTTTTATCCAGTTGATCTTCTCTCTCTCTCTCTCTGCAGATTATCCATGAACCTCCACCACCAGTAGTGGAAGATAGTTCGGTAAGAACTTTTTTTTTTAATTGATCTGTACATATCTGTACAGTCTAATTAAGCAGTATTGCTCTTGCATCTGTGTTGTCATACTGTGATCTGGCCATAGGCACAATACGTTTCAGACCAAAACCGGTCAGTACGTTTGTTAATTTCTCACTCGCCAACAAAAATAGTGGCAAAGGAAGCTAAAGCATCGAGCTTTGCCTGTCACAAAGCAACACACAGACTGAAAGTTGGTCTGGAACAGCATATCAGTGGAGCGAATGAGATTTCCCATTTCCGTTCAAAGCTTTCCATAATCACTCCGCTCTTCACCTACTCTGGTCTGAAAAGCAAATAAAGGAATACAAGTAACTTGGATTTCAGATTACTAATAATACATAAATTATTACTGAGAAAATGTGCCAGTGTTCAACTGGTTTTTATAAGCAGTTTTCTACATTACACTGGACTGTTAGATTTAAGGTAATCTATAAGTAAGATAATAAATATCCTGGTAAGTAGCCGTGTAATATGTGGGATAACGTATAGTCAGCTGGTCATTATCGCTTAAATAAACCCAGACACGACCGTGACGTAAAACAGAGGGGTCTTGTAACACACTAAAGGGGTTTATTTTGTGATAATGACTGTCTGACTGCACACAGTATATCTGAGAATGTGCTGGTATTATACTATGGAAACAAAGAGTTATCCTGGAGCGTTTATGGTGATTTTCTTCTTGAACTCTTGTTTATCTTGGATTAGGCTTAATCCTTGTTTACTGAAACCATCCCTGAGATCTCATTGTCCAAGTCCACACATGAAAAAGGTTTATTAAGACCGTAAAAAGGGTCAGATTTGGAGGTTATTTTCGTAATGATGTTATTCAGAATTGGAACTGGTTCTGAAGGTCAGAATGTTTCAGCTATTTAACAGGAACTTTGAGAGAGACTTTGGACTCCATAAAACTCCCCAGATCTTTGTAGGCTGTTGTTTAACCGCTCTGGCTTTGCTGGGCTAAAATGAATTAGTTCAGTCTGGCCTTATTAAAGACCTGTAATATGATAGCATATTTTTTTATAAATCTTTCATCAGTTATGTCACTTTTGTAAGACTGTAGGACCCAGCGACTTAAGACTGGTTTTGTGCTCCAGGGTCACATGTGTGGAATGGCTGTGGGTTTGGGAAATTTCCCTGAAGGTTTCTTTAAGTTACGCTAAAGTTTCAGGATATAAAAAATGTGACGGGGAATCAAGTGGGTGGTCAAATTGAAATATGAAGCGTGGGGACGGCTTTTAATCTTTTTGATTAAGTATTGACGCATTGATTAAAAGATGTCTGTTCAAATCTCGAGGACTGATTGCTAAACAGGGTTACATTTCCTCAGAGCTGGAAAAATAAAGTCATAACTTGAGTGAGCCAATTTGGATTTATTTTATTGGATCAGGAAGAGCTAGGGAGGCCGTAAGTGTGGCTCGTGCCTTTCTGAGAGGCAATAAATTAAAAAAAGTCATGTTTTAAAGGAGTGAGTCACACCTCATTTAGGAAAATGCTCGGCCATTGGAATAAGACCCGAAAAATATGTACTTGGAACAAACAAAGAATCTTTACAATAGTGTTCTTGTTTCGTTTAATAAGACGTGTATATCAGTTCTCAACATAGAGACCCAGATTTTACATTGGACATATAGCTAGCCAACATCTGTAACCTATATTTAATGTGGTCTGGGTTACGTTTTTGTTTTACCTTCACTCTTAAAAATAAAGGTTCCAAAAGGGGGTTTTCACAGAAGAACCCCCCTTTCGGAACCTTTATTTTTAAGAGTGAAGGTTCTTCATGGAACCATCAATGCTAATATGGAACCTTAATTTTTAAGGCTGTTGTGCAGTTTTGTTCATGGTTTTCAAGGATTGGGATCACTTTAACCAGTAAATTGCACCACAATTAACTTCTTCCCTGTTGTTTGTGACCAGAACAGATTTGTGGCCAACCGGTTTAGAACCATTGGACTTCATTTTGGTCACATTTTCATTGCCTTTGTTTGCACTATAAGGATGATGAAGAGGATGGAACTCCGAAGAAGAAGTGGCCCACAGTCGATGCGTCTTACTATGGAGGAAGAGGAGTTGGAGGCATTAAAAGAATGGAGGTAAACAACAGTTTTATCACTCGCTGGAGGGCACCAGCCACTAAATTAGCACACGCTCAGTGCCTTTCATCCAGAGGAAGCAGGCTGTGTCTCTGGAGGAACCTGGGGTTAAGTGTCTTTCTTAAGGGTGATGGATTCTGCCAGTAAATCTCCAGTTGACAGTTTGCCCCTAGTTGGAATGAAACCACTGCTGTTTATATTACATGCCAAGAGACTTCAGCACGTCATAATTGAAATCAGCGATGCTGCCGAAAGCGAATGCCACAACTGTGAAGAAAAACAGGAAATACAGAAGGAAAATGTTTGTCAAATCCATTAATTCGCAAAAGTATGCTTGAAATAAATGGATATGCCATGCAAACACAAGACCAAATCAAAAAATGGCATGACAAAAACAAGGGGAAAAAAATAGTCTAAGCCAACCTAACATGGTATGTTGTCTAGTTGGCTGGTTTTAAAATGGTTTAGGACACTGGAACTTACTGACCAGCTAAATCATCTGAAGATCAGCTTGACTAGGCTGGGAGACCAGCTAAGCAACCTTTGGCGTCTTAAACCAATTTTGTTTCATCAAACGGCTGCCAGTAAAGTACCAAAGTTTACAATCACAGCAAGACAGTGTTTACAATTGAGGAAAACGTGTGTGTGTGTGTGTGCATTATACAGCTCATCTGCTGTTTGGAATCCTTCCTTCGGTCAAACATTCTGCCTCAATTACCAGCAGTGCAGAGTTTGCAGTCTCGAAAATACCTGTCTAGAAATATTTCTATTTGAGAAAACAACATAAAATACGCATTCTTTGTCATGATTCACAGTTTTTATACTACTGAGTTGACCCCCCCCATTTATACCTGGAAAGGATTTTGAAATGTTGATAACAGGAAGGTTATGATGTAAAAATGAGGAAAGGTTTTGTAGTAAAATTCA